AACATCAGGGTGTGACTTTGTGCTAATAGCAAATGTGCTGCTGGCTTTAAAGTGAGAAGGAAGAAGGAACTCCCTCAGGTTGCTCTTTTCCAGGAAACACAGGTTGGATTCTCCTGTGCTTGGTGAATTGCTCCTGTCTTTGGGATGCTAAGGCATGACTTCCACTGATTCCCTCCATCCCTCTATGCTCTTTATATTTCTCCAGGTAGAGGCCCGTAGGCAGCACTGCTCAAAAGTGAGTGAGTGTCTAAACATATTTGCCCAAATACCCCTTTATAAAGAGATCATCAGCAGATTTGGTCTTTTTTTGCACAGCAAATAAGTGTGGTAAAGTGCAAACAGCAGCAGTTCACCTTGATGAATATGCACAGTAAAGCCTGGCCAGTTGCAAGGGCTATTAGGATTGCTGTTGAATTTCTTATGTAGGATGTGTAATAGCAATTATTTCAATGCGGGAGGGGGATGATTCTATCTGTACATTTCTTTAAGTTTTGTAATTTCAGAAAGGCAATGAATGAAGCACTTCAGAAGATCAGAGGGTAATGCTAGTCAAATCTTTCACCAATCCCAGCAAAAGAAGGCAAAACAAAGCTAGGTACAGGGACTGGAAAAGGTACCAATCCAAAGCATTCGCATGTATTCACGGTAGTCTTGATTGCTGTTTTTAAAAGTACTAAATTATGATTCAGGAAGTCCCTGAGCCATGTGCTGCTGTAGCTTGAGATAAAATATATTGTGTAGACAAGATCTTAATCTTGTAATTTTGCTGAATGTCTGTTGTTGTCCTCTGTCAGAAACAGACCTGATCTGATATGGCTCTTCTGATGCTGTCAGGTTTAAAGGGCCAAAAACAAAAAGGAACCTAGAGGAGGGATTGAAGCAGAATTCAAGCATTTAAATCCAAGAATCAGTCTAATCTTAGAGGCTCCTAAATCTAAAGAAACCTGTCTTCAGCTTTCAAATCCCTCAAGTATGCAAGATTCAACTTCTGCAGGTGCCCAAAAGCACTGCCATCTCGGTGGGTTTGGACTGGTCTGGGGACCAGTCAGGAGTGCAGATTGGTAAGGGGATGGTCCTGCTCTTGTTAGCATTCTTAGAACATGTGTCATGGAGCAAAGCAGGAGCAGGACACACATTCTTCTCTTCCCTCGCTTTGGACAATGCCACAGCAGTGAGAGAAGTTATGCAGAGCAGGGAGAGCTGCGTTCATTTTCCTCCTTCCACAGAGAACTCGAGCTGACCACTCCATACCTATGCAGGAGCCATGTGCTTCAGTTTAGGAGCTACCTATGTGACAAGCATGTGCTGCTGGCAAAGAGAGAAACCTCCTGAGAAAAATGAAGTGAGATAGAGTGGAAGTCTCTTCCACTTCACAGTTTAGATGCTCCTTCAGAAAGGGGGAATTCTGCATTCTGAAGTCATGTGCTCTTTTTTACATCACATTTATATCTTACCTTCCTGGCTGGACTTTGTGAACAGCTCTTGGAAGGATCAGGTATGTGCCCTCACCAGTATGCTAAAAAATAATATACACCTGTATTCTTCTATTCCAGTGAATCTTTAATTATTTTTATAGAAAAGAAGGGAATAGCTTCAACATACTAAGCATGTATTGCTTCCTCCCCACTCTCCTGTCTCCTCCAGGTAACTGGTACAGTGGGAGGTTACAGAGTCTCCTAGTAAAGAGGAGCGGTTGGGATTCCTCAAGCAGCAAATGGAGCTGAATGCAAATCTTCTTCTTGACATCCTGATGACCATGTCCCTCTGAAATAAAGAAGGCTGGAGCCATTTTGAATCCTTAATGATCAGACTCTGACCATACTTGTGAAATGTCTAGCCTTGGAGCCAAGCCTGGTTTGAAAGCTCTGCCATGAACTCTTTCAGTCCTTGGCTTCTTCTCTTTGTATCTTTGAGGAGAGTGCTCTCACCAGCCTTTAGAATTATTCTTCCTTCCTCCAACCGCATGCATACTTCAGTATTTTTCGAGCAGAATATCTCTAAAAGACTCAGCTGCATGGCTGTGTACCTGTCTTGAAGCAGGAATTAAGGAGGTAGCTGGTAGAAATTTGTGTGCCTCTGGAATGCAGATATTTCTGTATGAAGTGTCTGGTTTCTTGACAGCCTCAGTTTTGTTCTTGTGCCTGAACTGTTAAACGCTTCCCTCAGCAGCTGGGTTCCTAAGTCCCCAAATCACTTTTGCTGGTTTTTGTGTCCACAGCACTAAATATGTAGTAATGTAGGATCTGTGTGCAGATGGCACAATCTGCCTCACTGACCACAGTGTCACTTCTTGGGACACAAGAAGCTTCACATCAGTCAGTTCTGCAGGTCTCCAGAAAACTGGTTCCCATTGAGGATTATTTATTACATGTTAAAGTCACTCTGTGTTTACCTTAAAGCAATCTGATGAAGGGATTAACTAGGTGATCAGTTCATCTCACTGCATCACAGAGGATTAATTAAATTATTCCTAGACAAATTGCTGGGGTTTGACATTTAATCTAGCTACTGATCTCTCTGTCAACTTCTCTGCCTGCTTTCTGGAGTGCGATACTGTCCTTATTAAGGATTGTGTCAGCTGCGCATCTAGTTTTGCCGTGCTATAAATTAGAACCCGTTTCTTCTTCTGTCCTTGTTGTTCTGCAGGAATAATAGATCCCCAGTACAGAAAATTATTCCAGCTCTGTAGCTGGGACTGTTGAACATACTGTTTCCAGTACTGGCCACATTGTTATAAAGTGAACTAAAGCAAATAGGGGAGATTTAACAGAGACCAAATACAGGAACTTTATTTATTCAGAAAGGGTTAGAAAAGCTGTAGTGTAGCTGCTGTCTTTGGAAAACAGGAGATTAAACGGACATCTGAGTGAGGTTTGCAGAACTCCAGAGGGAATAGCAACGATTCGCACATACAGGGATATCTGAGCTAGTGACAAACTCTGGAACAAAAGGGAAATTAACAGCAGCTTAGACAGGGATGATCAGCAGTGCAGTGTAATTTGCTTGTGAATTTATTTGTATTTAACACAGATAATATATGGAAAACTACACCAGAGTTGTAACAGAAACAACTATTAGAAATCATTTAACAAAGCTCTAGACAAGTGTGGGGGCTTGTAACAGCACTGTGGGGTGCCACTGTTAATTTAAAGGAGAGGAAGAGGACTTATGTCATGATTTTATCTCTTAAGACATTCAGCTAAATGAATACATCTTATACATAAGCTGTATTGTGCTAAGTGACAGACACAGTGTAATATGTGTAATATGACTATACTATTGTCAGGGAAAAGTTTCCATTTCCAAGACTAATTCCTCTTGCAGGTTTACATGTGCTTTACTTACATACAAAAAAAAAGAGACTTGCAAGGGCCTGAGCTCAGGTCTGATCTCAGAAAATCCTGAATAACTCCAAGAAAAAAAAATGCTGCCTGTGGCATAACTGCGACCACGCTCTGGTCTTTGAATGCGTGAGGTCCAGGTGGAAAACCTTGATGTCTCCTTCTTTATTGAATTTCAAGGAAAGAGAACAGAAGAGTCTCAAGCCCTCACGGGGCATTTCTGCAGTTCTTGGAACAAGCACACATGTCACCGTTCGCACTCGATGCCTCCGGGCCACCGGCTGCAACAAGCTCTGGATCAGGCTGAGCCGCTCGCTTCCTCTGACCCACAGGTTGGTCTGTTTTAAGACAAAACAGCCTTTGCCCTCGAGCGCGCTGAGCCTGCTCCAAATCCGCCCGTCCAAACGGGCCTTTACGGAGGAGCGCAAGGGAACAAGCGGAGCGCTGCAAAAGCTGCTACCGCGCAGGGAAACCGGGCGGCCAACTCGTAACGCGACGCGCTTGGCCGCGGGCGCTTTGCGGAGCGAAACCCGCGCGCGGCTCTCGCCTCAGGACAGCGGCGAGCGGCCGTTAACG